CTGGGCCGGGTCGAACCACGTGGGTACGTCCAGCCTCTGCAAGGTGGGTGGGAGGGCAGTTTGGGCGGGAAGGACAGTTCTTTCTGTGCTTTCTCCCACAGAGTGAGCTCAGTAGGTCGGGGCTGCCCCTCTGCGATGTTGTCATCAACCTGGCTGGAGAGAACGTCCTCAACCCTCGGCGAAGGTCAGCTGGGCCGTAAAGCAGTGTCACCTGCACAGAGGGAGAGGGTCAACTCCTGTGAGCTGTGCATCGAAGACATACACTGTGCAAGTGTCTCTTAGCCTTGGAGCCTGTTCTGTACCGGTGTCATAAGAAAGCCCATTGTTATGGCTAAAGAGACATAGGCCCATGCCTATCATGGAGGGGGTAAAGTCGTATCTTTCTTAACCACCCTGAGTTATGCATTAGACAGACTTGGGACAGCCAGCGGGCTGACTGGGAGAATGGGCAGGCATAAAGGGGTAGGGCAGGATGAGTAGTGAGGATGTGGCATAGATACGTGTCTGTACTTCTGACTTTTTCATCTTCTCTGCAGATGGAACGAAGCCTTCCAAAAAGAGGTGCTTACCAGCCGTCTGGATACCACCCACCTGCTAGCTAAAGCCATCACCAAAGCCGAACACCCACCGCGGGCTTGGATACTAGTCACAGGTGTAGGTATGCCCCAAATCATCAACCTCTTACCTTAACAAGAACAGAGAACTCAGCTCAGGCCCTTGGGGCTAGTAACACCCCACTGCAGCACCCTAGAGCACGGATCCTTCCAGTGTAGCTTCTAGATCCTCCAGCCACACAGGTTTCTCCTGACCTCTCTATGTTCACTATGTGGTATTTATAGGTGTGAACGGAGTGAGAGTGTACTTGGCTAGAGACTCAAAGCTAGGAGTCCATATAGGAAGACTCAGAAAAAGAGGAATGGGCCAGTCCTAGTCTACCTACTGAATTAGTCTACCTACTCCTAAGCCCCTTGCTTTTTGGACCACAGTTCTTTATGAACAGCCCCCTATTGCTGTGTCACCCTTGAGACGGAATAATTGCAAACAATTAAAATGTGAACAGTAGCCACTATACTAAGTATTTTATACATTTATATTATTTAATCCTTGCAACAACCTTATGAGGTAGGTACAGTTACTCCTATATTGAATTGCAGATTGTTCATACAGAGAAGTAACTTGCCAGAAAGTCACAGATAGCAGGGATGGTGGAGCTCAAGCAGCCTGGCCCCCAGATTTCTGTCCCTAACGTCTACAAGCTAGCAGCCTCTGGGTGCAGCCTGACAGCCAAAGGCTAGACTTCCAGGCAGGAATACATGGAGAAGCTCAAGGGGAAAATTCATGGATCTTTCTTCTCCTGTGGAGACCCAAAGGGTCAAAAGAATAAAGCTAGGGAGCCCTTAGCTGCAAAGGGCCCAGAAGGACGGGGCCAGCCAAGCAAACAAGTTTTCTCCCTTGGCAGCTTACTACAAGCCAAGCCCAACTGAGGAGTATGATGAAGACAGCCCAGGAGGGAACTTTGACTTTTTCTCCAACCTGGTAACCAAATGGGAAGAAGCAGCCAGGCTACCTGGAGAGTCTACACGCCAGGTTGTGGTGCGTTCAGGTGAGGACCAAGTGCCTGGGATCCAGGCAAAGTGGAAGATTTCTGGGCTGAGGAGGGCTGAGCTTCCAGTGAGAGAACATCATCAGTCTAACTAACACAGAGGGAAAGTCCCAAGATCCACTCCATAGCCACGTGGGAAGAAAGTGAGGAAGGGAGAAGAGACATAGAGTAGTGCAGATTTCCAAGGTTAAGCAACCTTCCTGAACTACCCCTCTTGCCTACTTTAGGGGTTGTGCTGGGCCGTGGGGGTGGTGCCATCGGCCAAATGCTTCTGCCCTTCCGCCTGGGCCTAGGAGGCCCCATTGGTTCAGGTCACCAATTCTTCCCCTGGATACACATTGGTGACCTGGCAGGAATTCTGATTCATGCCCTTGAAGCAAACCACGTCCAAGGAGTCCTGAATGGAGTGGCCCCAGCATCTACCACTACCAATGCTGAATTTGCCCAGGCCTTGGGTGCTGCCCTGGGCCGCCCAGCCTTCATACCTGTCCCCAGCATTGTGGTACAAGCAGTCTTTGGAAGAGAGCGTGCCACCATGCTGTTGGAAGGCCAGAAAGTGGTCCCACGGCGGACGCTGGCCACTGGCTACCAGTATTCCTTCCCAGAGTTGGGGGCTGCCTTGAAAGATATTGTAGCCTAAATAGAGAAGGGCCCCAAGGCAGGAGCTGAGGCCTGTTCCTCATACAGAGAATTGGTTCAGGTAAGCCTTGTTCTGAGGGCAGAAGCCATCTTAGACTCCTCCCCCCCTTTCTCCCTGTGTTGTTGTTTCACCTCTATTTGAGAACTCCAGTCAAGGTTGTCATCACATTCCAACCTTAACCTCTTCAACTTCTTGTGGTTTCTGTGTGTCACACTGTTGCCCCAGTTCTCCATATGCTGTGTAGAAAACACTCTACAGTTACGGCAATAAATTCTATCACTGGATTCAGCTGTCTCTTTGGCTTAGATTCTCCTGGAATTGATCTTAAGGACTATTACCTAGATGGCTCTCCTTCCTAAATGAGGTTCTGACTGTTGTTATATTCAGTCTCTCTCCCCACGAGCTAGTGAGACATGAGCTGTGACAAAGGTTAAAGACAATAAATACATTTGAGGATCATTTCCAGTGAGCTTTGGTGCCACCCTAACCACCTGTTTGGAGGATGCCAGCAAAATTGGAAAAAGGGTCCTGTAGGTTAGCCTCACGGTTTCACCCAGTGCCAGTGAACTAATATAATAAACACATGCCGGCCCCACCTCATACTGCAGTAACACAAAGCCAATGTCCCTCTATAAACCTAGGATCTGTCTCTCATCCGCTTGGGAACACTTTGGCCTTCCAGGGCCCACAGCATAAAAAGGAAGCCAATTCTGGCTTTCTGTACACCCACCATCACAACAAGCAAAAAGAGCAAGAAACCAATCACAAACTTGAAAAGCATGTCTACCAGCAACCAGTTCAGACCATTCTCTTTGCTTCCTGGACACTGAGAAGAGTCATTGTCATTTCCTGATCAACTTGTCTCCAATATGGCTGCCCCAGCCTGAGTCAGTCTGGTGTAAAGATGAAAATGGCCAATGAAACAGGCAGACACTGGGACCTAGGGACCCTCTCCCTGATCACTGAGTTCCATACACAGTCACCTCTCTGTCACTTGGAGTAAGCCAGCCAGAAAAGAATCTAATTCAGGAACTCACTACAGGTTCCAAACAGAACTGAACCCAGAAGTACCTGCCTTACCTCTTTATCTGAGAAGCTGGCTAGCTCTCAGTCATTCCTGGGGAAAGTAATAGTAACAGAAGCTTGTTAGGCTGCACTAGAGGAAAATCTCCGGGAAAAACTATACATCCAGGTCAGGAATGTGCCACCTTGCAGAGAGTAAATTCCCTGGCCAGGAATCAAGCAGATACAAAACAATAACTTGTGGGGATTGGGATGTAAACAGTTGGTCATGATAGGTCCGTAGAGTTTATCTGTGACCAATCAGGTATCTTTCAACTCGGATGATTCAGCTTCCACTTGCTAGATAATAGTTCCTTCACCATACACACAAAGTAGTAGTGTGTCTTGCTGAATGCAACCTACATCTTTCATAGAAGAAATATTAGATAGATCCCATTAACATTGTCGATGCAAAGCATGGCTTCATGAATTTGGTGAATACACTCAACACTAGAGAGAGGATTTAACCAGGGCCATTCTGACACATTTGTGAATCTGTAAACTAACAGCTGAATGCAGCTGACCAGCTGCCACTTCTAGGAACCCTGAGAGTATTTAGGTAATGCAACAATCAACCCTAACAACTATTTTGTTTTGAAGGTTGCTGGGAAAGGATGCAGCCATTACAGGGCATGTTCTATTGGAAACCCAGTGTTAAAACTGAGGGTATGGACTGTGGACATCTCTGAATGGGAACTTTTGGTTAGGGAGCCTATGCAGACACAGGCAGACACACCTGAGACATGATCCAAGATCACTTCCTCACAGAAGCTTCCTCTGTGTTCTCATTCCTCCTCTCAAAGGTTATTTCTATACCTGATGTATAGACATAAGTAAAGGCCAAGCGACTCTGCCAAGATCACAAGCAGAGCACAACTGAGACTGGAAGCCCGGTACCCCCCTCTGCCTTGTGGGTCTGTCTCTGCTGTCCCTCCAACAGCCCACACAGCACTACGGCCCTTCAGAACCCAGACAGCTCAGCCTGAACAGCCACTCAGAAGAGCAGCCTGGGGGGGCTTTCTTCCTCACCTCAGCCTTTTGCCACCTCCAGCTTACCCTAGTCTCCACCTCATTTTAACTTGGAGGTGAGGCCGACGGTCTCGGTCTTCATGAAGAGCCTCTACAGCCTATAGAAACCCTCTGCAAAGACGAGGTTGAGCAGTTAACTCTGATTAAAGTGGTCCTGACTCGGGTTGAGTCACTCTATGGACCTGTCCTCAAGTACCCCAGAGGCAAGAGTATTCCCACACTCAGATCTCTTCTCTGGTGCTTCCTCCAGCCAGAGTACCACCTTAGAGGGATCCATGCACAGTTTGAGCAGCAGAGGACTGTAAAGAAGGGGCTGGGCTGGGGGAGCTGAGTCTGATAGGGCAGCAGCTATGCAGGCAAGTAAGGCTCAAAAGTTGAGACTCAGCAGGGCCTCAGAAAGCTGATTAATATCCCGGCAGTATGGTTCCCGCTGCAGGATGAAGTCCACCTTGTGGTCCTGACCCCAAAACACCTCCAGCAGCTGGCGCCGGAGCCGCTCTGTCTCCCGGGTCTTGCGGATACCACCACTGCCTCTCTCCTCTTCCTTCCCCTGCTTCCCCTGCTGCTGATTACCATGGTCTGTGGGGCCCCTGGAGGGCTGGGGAGTCTTAGCAGAGCCCTGTTTCCTGGAGAAAAGCAGAGTAAGAACTGATAAGTACTCCTGAGAAAAACTAGGCCCCAGGGAGCCTCAGCCAAACTGACCAATTTCCAGCTTTAGGAGATGAATTCATGAAGTTCACTAAGCCGGCCACTGAGTGGCAGTATCAACCCACTAGGAAAACAACCCTAATGAGATGTAGCCCTGTTTCATCACTTGCTTGAGGAGCCAACAGAGGGTGTCGGGGTACAACTGGCTATCATTACATGCAACCATCTCCCAAATAGCTCCATCAAACACACTGACCAGAAGAATAAAGAAATAAATGTATCTCTGTGTCAGGATTCCCTGAGGGGACTTTAAAGACCAGTCCCAAAAACTTGAGACTGCTGCGGAACTAAGCTGGCCCAAACTGCGACACTCCCATCCAAACCTCCAATCCTTCAGAGGAGCAGATCTCAACAGGCTGCAGGCAGAGAAGGGGCATCACCTGACTGTCTTCTTCAGGAACTCATCCAGGGTGGGGCCATTTCGCCCCAGTGGGTCATCTGGGACCATGAAGAGGTTTCCCACAAAGGTGAAGGGCAGCAGGCTGGATGAGGAAAAAGGAAGTCACAGAAATGACCGCACCCAGAGCTCCTGGCTGTCACCCTGAGGCACCTCCAGGCCCTTCCCCAGGGTTCTCACCCAGTGGTCAGAGAAGAGCTGGTTTTAGAGAAAGGTCTGAGTCGGTGCCCTATTCTCACCGCTCTCTGATGATCGCCATCCACTTGTCAGACTCCTCCGCCAGATCCCGGAACTGGTCATTGGAGACAATGATCCCATCCGTCTCTTCAGCCAGCTTCACCATGAACCTGTCTCAAGAAAACACAGACACCATTCTGGGATTCTCCAAGGACCAACCCCACAATATGCTATCCATGCCTGAGACCCAATTCTGGTGATGGAGGTCAGTCTCCCAACTCGTTTACTGAAGTGAAGCGTGAGGGGAGCTTCTTGGGAACTGGGCCCAGACCGTCGTGCATCGTAGGCAAGTGCTTTACCACTGAAATTGTAGGTAGGTAGACAGACAGACAGACCAAGGGAGTGGGGCTAAGAGATAGGCAGGCATGGTGGCGCACACCTTTAATCCCAGCACTCAGGAGGCAGAAACAGGTGAATCTCTTGAGTTCTAAGCCAGCCTGGTCTACATAGTTCCAGGACAGCCAGGGCTACATAGAGAGACCCTGTCTCAAACAAACAAACAAACGAATTGCAGACAGGATCTTGCTAAATTACTCAGTCTAGCCTTGAATTCACTCTGTAGCCCAGCAGGCTTTGAACTCTCCATCTTGCTAAATTACTCAGTCTAGCCTTGAATTCACTCTGTAGCCCAGCAGGCTTTGAACTCTCCTTCTTCCTGCCTCAGCCTCTCAAGTAGTTGGGATTACAGCCTGTGCCTCCGTATTCAGCTCCTCCCCTCACTATCACCCAGCCACAGCTGACTAACTAGACATAGGCACCAAGATTAGAGAAGAAACAGTGATGAATCCAAGGTAGTCTCCCAACATCATCCCATTCACAACCCTTTACAGTAAGAGTGAGCTATAACTTTCTCCCGCCCTGCTAGTCGCTCACAAACCTGCATTCCTCCTCTGACCTTTCCATGCTGCCTTTCTTTCCAGGGCAACAATCGCCTTACTAATTCAGACATTAAAACAATACTACTGCCAGCCTCCCACCATCTTCCTGCATCCTCACCTGCTCTTCCCCTACATAGAGCTCTTCACCCCAATCCAGCCCAAGTGAGAGGCCTTGAATAAGTCCACATGGCCAAGCTGGCAGCTAACGGCTCTAGAATCCACCCGGATGCCACTCTTACAGCCTTTTCTCTCTCAGTATTCCCTAATGTAGCCTCAATTCCAGCCAAGATCAGTGATCAGATTACACTCTTAACCAGTCAGTTTCTTCTTATTCCCTCCATCTCAGGGTGTATCCTAAGCCTCTACAGTGACAGCCACTAAGGAACTCGCTTCCTGGGAGCTGGCTGGCGGTCTAGCTCAGCTGGTAGAGTGATTACCTAGCTGCACCAGGCCCTAGCTTCAATCTCCAGCACTATATGGACTGGGCAGGGTAACATACATGAGTAATCTAGCATTCAGGAGGTGGGGATAGGAGAATCAGAAGTTCAAGGTCATCCTTGGTTACTCAGTGAACCTGAGACCAACCTGGCTACATGAGACCATACCTCAAAAAGTAAAAATAAAAATAGTAAAAGTAAAAATTTCAACTTTTGTTCTTTTGAGATTTATTTTTTATGTATATAGGTGCTTTGTCTGCATGTAGGCCTGCAGACCAGAAGAGAGCATCAGATTGTGGGCTGCCATGTGGGTGCTGGGAATTGAACTCAGGACCTCTGCAAGAGTCGCCAGTGCTCTTAATTGCTGAGCCATCTCTCTAATCCCAAAACTATAAAGGTTTTTTTTTGTTTGGTTTTGTTTTTGTTTTTCGAGACAGGGTTTCTCTGTAGCTTTGGAGGCTGTCCTGGAACTAGCTCTTGTAGACTCACAGAGATCCGCCTGCCTCTGCCTCCCAAGTGCTGGGATTAAATAAAGTTTTTTTAAATACTGCTGAGGCCCCACTTTAGTAATTTTCTTGTTTTATTTTTGAGACATGAGCTCATATAGCCCAGGCTTGCCTCCAATTTACTGAATAGCTGAAGCTAACCTCAAACTTCCTGCCTCTGCTCTACCTCCCAAGTACTGGCCTTAAAGGCACTTGCTACCATGGCCAGGTCCCATTTTAATAATTCTCCATCCACAAAGTGAGACAGTGAACTAACTTTTGAGAAGTTTAAAATCGAAGAGATCCAGCCCATCCCACATCCTTCTCAATCAAAACTTCCAACCCTTCCTTCCTGTAAAATCCCAGTCACAACAAGGCTCCCTTCCCTGAGTTCCTGTAGCGCCTGATTCACAGGGCGTTTTACTGTACTCGGGGCCTTCTGAAGCCAAGGACCAACTCTTGCCCCAGAGTTCTTCTCCAAGTCATGCACCTAGCCTGAAGTGGGCAGTCTGTATCTGAAAGGCACTGTGTGGGGGACAGAGAAGACCGGGAATCGGGATTAGGTACAACAGGTGTGTGGGAACAAGCTCAGGGGACGCTGTGTTGCGTCAAGTGCACAAAAGGTGCTTTCGGGTTAAGGACTTTCTGGCTCTCAGGTTAGGATGCAACCTGTGCTGCAGCTCTCCCTCGGGAGGCTCAGTTGTGCTCTGTTTTATACCATAATGAAGAGAAATTCCAAGTCTGCATCATGCATCCACCAGGTTCTATACAACTAAGCATTAAAACTGACTCAATTCAAAACTGAGGAGTATTAATTCTGTTATGGTGCTGATGTGGATTAAAAGTTACTGTCTTAGAATAAACTAAAATCTAGGCCTTAAAACAAAATAACAGTACTTGGGAGGCAGAAGCAAGAGGATCACCACAAGCTCAGAGCCAACCTGGCCTACAGAAGAAGTACTCAGTCCAGCCAGGGCTACAAAGTGAGATCCTGTCCAAAGGAGAAACAGTGGCATCAGGGGAGTCCTGATTGGTTTTTTATCAACTTGACACAATATGCAGTTATCTGGTAAGGGGATCCTCAACTGAGAAAATGTCTCTATTAGACTGCCTGTAGGCAAGTGTGTGGGACATTTTCTTGATTGCTAATTGACAGAGGGAGGTCTGCCCACTAGAGGTAGTGCCACCTCTAGGCAGGAGGCCCTGGGTGGTGTTAGAAATGGAGCTGAGCAAGCCAGTAAGTAGCCAGCAAGCATCCCTCTGTGGTCTCTGCACCAATTCCTGCCTCCAGGTTCCTGTCCTGACTCCCAATCAGAGAGAGACTATTACCTGAAAGTTAAGATAAAATAAACCCTCTCTTCCCAAGTTTCTTTAGATCATGGTATTTATCACAACAAGAAACCTAAGACAAGAAGAAAGTGAAGTACCTTTTGTAAAATACTTTTTACTTCTAAGGAGTAAAAGTTAAATATCTGAAAAGATAAATCATATAATCACTGTGCTGGTTAGTTTTTAATCGCCTGAGAAGAGTTCACAGTGAGGAACTGTCTCGCTCAGGTGGTCTGTAAGAACCTGGCTAATAGAGTGGAAAGACCCAGCCCCTGTGAGCAGCACCATTCCCCAGGCAGGGGGTTCTGGTACCATGAGTAGAGGACACAAGCTGAGCACTATCATGAATGCATTCAAAGCTCTCTTCCTGATTGTGGATGGATGTGACCAGCTCCGTAAGTTCCTGCCGCTCTGACTTCCCAGCTATAAAGGACTGTAACCTGAGCTGGGAGCTAAAATAAATCCTCCTTAAAGTTACTTTTTTGGACTTTTCTGGACTCTGGGCACCAGGCACGTACATAGTCCACATCCACACATACAGGCAAAATACTACTACACATAAATTTTTTTTACACGAAAATTAAGAAGATTTAAAATAGCTAATTAGCTTTAAGATGTATATATTTCTATACCATATATGCACAAGTGTAGCAGGAATATACCCTGTTTTCTGCTTAGCCTATATGGTAACTTTTGTCAAGGGAGTTAACCACTTACCCTTTTTATCTACCTCTGTAAACAGAGATAATAAACCATGCACCACTTTTTTTGTTTGTTTTTTTGTTTTAGTATTGAGACAGGGTCTCACTTTATAGTCCAGGCTGGCCAGGAACATACTTTGTAGCTCATGCTGGCCTCAAATTCATGGGGATTATCCTACCTCAGTCTCTCAAGTGCTGGGACTACAGGTGTAACTACCACACCCAGCTTCATGCAACACTTAATTGGGCCCATGCAATGTTAAGAGGGAATGTCACTAGACTGTTGCTTAGCACCAGGAATGAGGCAAGCACATACCTTATCTTCTTTTGATATTCACAAGGAGGGTGAATGAATGGAGAAGGATCCTGAGACAAAGAGGTTGATTGACTAAGAGGTGGGGCCAAGGCCATGGAGAAAGCAGATCAATAGTGAGCTCTGCAGCTATAACTCTGCCATTCTGTTCCATTCTAAGTCTGCTGATCTCCAGACAGACCTCCTATCAAAGACTGTTAATGCATTTTATTTATTGTGAAGAGTTACTCTCCCTTTCCCAGAACATTCAAAGAATTTGTCTACATTGGAAATTCTGCCAGCCAGCCATGTTACCAGCTCTCCATTACTCTGGTATTTTCTAGACAGTAAAGCACTTTATATAAAGACAAGGTGAATGATGAGCAGGCAAGCATAGTTGTCCAAAGTCCATCCCCTGTCACCTGCAGAGCTGATTTGCCTACCCCATCATACATCCCAGGGAAACTAACTCCACTACTGAAGCTGGAAGACAGAGGTCAGGAGCATCTCTCTCCTCCTCAAAGCCCCACTAGGCTCCATAAATAAAACTTGGGGTCAGGGGAGGGGCAAATACCTGTCATCATAGGAAGAAATCCTCTTGCCATCCATGACTCGTGAGGGTGTCAGGGAAAGCAGACTCAGGGAGTACAGCTTCTGCAGGAAGTGACTCTCTACAGAACAAGATACAACAGGGTTCTCCTCAAGGTAGACACAGCCCCACCCAGGACACAGATGGCCCCCAACTTACCTCTGACCTTGGAATCCTTACTGAAGCGCCACTGAGGCACAAAGACAGTTATGTCACGGTGCCCACGATCCCAGAAGTACTGCACGGCAAGAGCAATGCCCCGGCTTGAGAAGTAGTGCTGGAGGCCGTGCCTACAACAGAAAGGGTGACACTCAGGACCCACAGGAGGCCGTACTACCAGCCCCTCAGCAGATGTCTCCAAGACAGACAAAGATGCTTGTGGCATCCTCCCTCCTCAGAACTCAGCCCCACCAGCTACTTACACCATGGCCACATTGCTGCCATCAATGACAATATGACGGAGATCTGGCTGGCCAGGCACATTGGCAAGGCACAGGGTGAAAGGATCCTGTAAGGCTTCCTGGAAACGCTGTGTGCCAGTCACCAAGTTGCCCCCTCGAGTGCCTCGTTTCCATGGAGACCCTCGACCTCGAGCCCCAGCCTGTTGCTTGTCTCCCCTGTCTCCCCGATCTCGGTCTCCACACGGCCACGGGGGTTCAGGCGCAGATGGAGGGCTAGGTACTCTTGGCGGTGAGGTGTTCCCATTATGGAGCCGCTGGAGGAGAGAGGCTCCTCGAGTTTGAGCTGCCCTCTGAGTGGGCACAGGGGCACCAGAAGGTTCACCCTGCATACTGAACCCTCCTCTCTGCTGAGGAACCTCCTCCTTACCCAAAGCCTTTCCCTTCAAAGGCACTACCTCCTCTGCTCCTCCACCTGCTGGCTGTGACTTGAAAGCCACTCCTCTCTCCCAGTCCTCTTCCCCAGATGCATCCTTCTGCCCTGAATGCATGTCCCTGACAGCATCCTGTTTCCTTCCCTCCTTCTCCGCAGAATGACTTTCTCCTCTTGCTGCCTTTGACTCTCCCCACCCCACCATTCCAGTGCCCGGGGATTCCCCACCTTTGTTCAAGGGAGCCCTAACTCCCTGGAACTGAGCACTCAACAGGTCTGGGCTCCCCTGCTCATGAGAGGGCAGTGCCTGCAAACCATGCTCTCTGGATGCCTCCTGTACGAGGCTTAGGAGCTCCTCCTGGACAGCCAGGGGCAGCTGCAGCAGGGCCTCTGTGTAGGCATCCTTCCTAGTCTGCAGCAGAGCAGAGAAGTCTCTCAGCACTCCAGCACTGGCAGAGACTCCAGAATAAGACGGCAGCTGAAGATCCCAGCTCAGCCGCTGCACTAACTCCTCCACCCGGCTCTGAGCCATCACAAATGCCTCAGTTAGGCCACTGATCATCAGAGAGCCAGGAACCAGGGGCACCAGGTGGGCAGACGTGCTCCATGCCAGGCAGTCAAGGAAGAAGCCTTGGGCTCCCTGAAAGACGCAGTGCAGTCTGGGTGGGTAACGAATTTCACTCTGCAGTTCTGGGCTGCAGAGCCCCTTCAGGTATTCCTAGATGGGAAAGTCAGAGAGGAAACTTCTAGAAGCCATCCCCTTCAGGTGCATTGTTCTCCCTAAGCTCCAAGTGCTTGCATCATCCAAGTAGATAAATATAATTATTCCCATTGTAGACATAAAGAAATTTAAGATAAATCAGAAGGCTGTCAAGTGCTGAAGCTGTATTAGAACTCGAATAGATCAGAAGGCTGTCAAATGCTGAAGCTGTATTAGAACTCTTCCTCGAAGAGTCCCACTCCCAGGGCATCCCTTGGCAAGGACCACGTGTACAGTGGGATTACTCTACTATACCCAAGAGCACAAAGTAATTAGTTTCCAAATGCCTGCAGTACCTGGGCCATGAGGGCAGAAGTGAAACCAAAATTCTAAGTAAGAATTGCTGAGTTCCTCAAAGCTCAGAACAGAGGTGGGCAGGAAGGTAGCAAAGAGGCAAAGATCCTCCCCAACCCCTCCTCTGAATCGGCCTAGGGGAGGGGCAGGGTCCTGAAAGGATCTGGGACAGGCGTTAACCTTGGCTCTGCAGACATTCTCCTTCGGGCCCTCAAGCTGCAGCCAGATATGAGGGTTCTCTGGGCAGTCTTTGGAGAGGACGCTCATTCCCACGCTGAAAATGCGTTCCAAGCGAGCCTGTTGCTCCCGAACCTTGTTCTCGGCGACCGCAGACACCGCAAAGCGGTCAGGAGTGGAGGAAGCAAGCCCCCAAGTAGACATGGCTTCTTCCTGGGGTCCTGGCAGGGCAGAGGCAAAAGCTCAGAGACTTTGTCTCCCTTCAGGCCAAATCCTAATCACACGGCCTACACCCAACAATCAACAGGTCGCACCTAGTTACAACCCCGGTAAACAACCCCAAGAGGTAATACGTCCACGTCGCGGGTGGAGAGGACAGAAAATTATCGGCACAGGCCTCTCCCGGAGAGGAAATCCTTCGTAAACAAGGCTATCTGGGATGGACGACTGGCCTGAGAACACAGATGACCACCGCCCTGAGAGGGGAAAGGTGAAGGGGCCTCCAGCTCATTCTGAGGGTCCTAAGGAGTGGGTGGGTGAGAAGAGAATCCCAAAGCTCAGAGGTCTCTGAAATTTGTGAGTAGAAGAGGGCCTCTTCAGAGACGAAAACGCGCCGGAGACTGTAGTCCTGGGAGGGGGTGCCCTTGTCTGCCATGTTCCTTCTCTAGCCACTCCCACCTCCCCGCCCCCCTTCTCGGAGTCGTCCACAGCCAAGCGTCCCACCCGGGCCCGGGGCCTGGCGAGCCTCCCAGACCACCGTGGTGGCCGCCCCCAGCCCGATCACCCTCCC